GAGCTCCATTTCCTGGGACTCTGCTTTGGCCAGCATCAGTTTGATCAAGGTGAGCTGGAGCAGCATCACCTCCCGTGGGCAGAACGAGGAGCTCATGTTGGCAAAGCTGTTGGATAAATCATCTGTTGCAGGGACAACACCTGACAAATCAGTGCCCTGATGCCTCCCAACGCCACCAGCAGTAGATGGCAGATGCTGCTGATGACAGGATTCATCTCCTCCTGGTGGCTGCTCCACACACAGATTAATTAAAGAGGAATAATAATGGCTTTCCCTTGCTAGGGGAATGCCTGCCAGGACGTCCTTATACATCTGCTGCAGGAGAGAGATCTTCATGATGAAATCATGCAATATTCCAGAAAATGCTGTGTGGCTTCTCTGATTATTCACTGCAAATCAGCTTCAAAGTCACTTTCATACAGTAAGAGAAATTGAAGCACCACTGGATATTTCTCTTCTAAATTACCTATAAATAAAACATTCTGCTGTTACTTTGCAAGCAACTAGAAAATATAAAGGAACAACACATTTTTAGAGTTAATGCTACCATTATTAAAATTGTTTTGAAAATGCAAATTCAGCTGCACAAAACTGTCTCAGTGAGACATTAAAATGAAAAATTACCATGCTGGGAAGAAGTTCACAGTTCCAGTATTATATTACCAACACAAATGTTCATTAGCTGGAATTAACAAACCCAAAGATAACTATTATTAGGGACTACTTCTAAAGATATGAGAACTTGGATTAAATCTTTCTCTACATTGCTAAACTACTAGAATCTAAATTCTTTTGTGACAGATGCCTCCAAAAACAGGCATAAAATCTCAGCTGCAAATTTTCCTCTGAACTGGAAATGCTCATTGCTCCACTGTGGCTGGAACTGGAAACAGCTCTCAAAAAAATGGAAGCCAAAGGAAGGACAAGTCTTGACTTCTGCACACAGGCTCAAGGTGGGCCGACCTCATTAAGAAGCAATTAAGAAAGTGAAAATTAAAGAATAATTTAAAATCAGAGTGTCAAATTTATTAAGAGCCAATAAAAACATTTAAACATATTCAGGAAAGGTTAAAAAAAAAGTCTTTATCCCCATGTCAATAGAAGACATCTTTCAATCACAGCACTGGAATATTGGCTACAGTTTAAAATGAAGAGCTACTAAGAATTCAAATTTCTGCATCAGGTATGAGCACCTAAGCCCTCAAAATTTTCTGTCCAGTATATAAATGGCCAGACAGATAGCCTGATGATATTAAGGATATTTTTTTTCTGAGAAAATTTGGTTTCTTTTCACCTACATTAAGAATGATGCTCATCTGTAATATTTATCTTTTAGAGCAGTTTTAACATGATCTCTAATCAGATTTCTTTTAATTAAAACCAACAAACTCATTACCTTTATCTATGGTGAAGTTAGGAGTGGAACTAAAGTTGATTATATGAATTTTCATACCTTTTTTACTTGCATGCTTTCTGGATCCCCATATCTAAGTCTGGCATAATCAACCAGGTAGAATTCCAGGCAGAATCCTGCAGCCATACACCTGTAGTTGGCTTTTCTTTAAATAATGCATTTCCCCCTTCTTACCAAAGGAAGAAAACCATTCAGTCTTCAAACCAGCAAGAAATTCTAAAGATCTTCCCATCTATGTAGCAGTTTTACCTGCATATGTCACTAGACCAAATATTTTAAATTAATTTTAAATTGTTTTTAGCAGAATATTAGAAAACAATGAAATTGTAGAAGTCAGCATATAAGGCATTTAATTGTAGTTTCTAATCTTCACAAGTTTTAAAAACAACATCAAACACTGAAAATGACACCTTCATTTTTACAACCTGATTTTGTCATTGATACTAAAGCATGTATTGACAAAATGGCTTCCCAAAGGCACGAAGGATTGGAGGTAGACCAAGATGTGCTACCCTGACTCATCACTTCTCCCACATCAGGAAGTATTTCCTCCAGAAAAGAAACCAAAATTTGAGAGCATGAAGTTGCCTGCAGGAGTAATCTACAATTCCCTCTGGTGTGGTATTTTTAAAGACATTCAGCAAGGGCTGACCTGAAAACCCCAAAATGTTACAGCATGTTCCTCACCTGATAGAAGCAAGAACCCTTCCCCCATCCTCCACATTTTGCTGGATGTTAAGAATACATCTGGTATTTCAGGCAATAAATTCCCTCTTCATTTGCAGAATCTTTTCAGAATTCTACTTAAGGTGGAAATTTATGACCTGAAAAGGCATAAATTTTTTTCAGAAATCACTCTGAATATTTTATATAGCTATTGTTCCTATCCTTGAGCTTTATTTCTTCCTAAATGACTACCTAATAAAGTAAAATCATCTCAACACATTTACTCCTGTTTTTGAGATCAGCTTGAATTATCACCTTATGTGGTAGAGGAAGAGATCTCATGCACAAATTCACACGATCCAGCAAGGTGGTTAAGGCAGGAGAGATTCAGAACTTTTCTAGGACACCCACTGGGAGATTTCACCTTCACCACACGACGCTGGCTGTGCCTTCCTGGATCCTCCCAGAACACATTTGTGTTCCACCATTAATTTGCAAACTTCACAAAAGCATCTCTAAGATATTTCTCACTCACACATGACAACAGTTCACAAACGTAAGCCATTGAAGGAAATGAAAAGTGAGGGGGCTTATTTTGAAGGCATTTACTTCAAAGAGGGAGAAAATATCAGACAAGGGCTAAATTTGTTTCAGACACAGCACGAGAGTGAAAAGCTCAAAGCTGAAGAGTAAAGAAAAGCAGTGACAAGCTCCAACCCTTATTTGTATTATTTATCTGAGTTACTCCTGACAGCATCTAAAAACCAATTAAGGCAATGCCTCACAGAGCCAGACTCCTGCACAAACAACAAGGAATAGTTCTAAAAACCTTATATATAGACTGATCATGTAAAAGATGGAAAGGAAAACTACGCAGAAAGTAAGAAACAAACAAAAAAAAGGGGGTTTTGTATGTTACTTTCATAATTAAAAATGATTTAAAATCAAAACCAAAGTCAAGTGGAGCTGCAAACAGAATAAGAGAAGAAACTTAAGCTTCTTCACTTATATCTCTGAGTTAAAGTTTAAAAAAAATAAAGCAAGGAAAATGTGCTATCAACAATGTTAATTCAGTCAAATTAGGAAGAAATTATTCCCCACGAGGGGTTGAGGCCCTGGCACATGTGCCCAGAGCAGCTGTGGCTGCCCCTGGATCCCTGGGAGTGCCCAAGGCCAGGCTGGACAGGGCTTGGAGCAGCCTGGGATGGTGGAAGGTGTCCCTGCCCATGGCAAAGGATGGAAAGAGATGAGCTTTAAGGCCCTTTTTTTTCTGGAAAAAATTATCCAAAACCCCATCCTATTTTCATTATAAAATTAGATCTGATGAAGCGAAAGGCTCAGTCTGTGACTTTTGGGTATGAATCGGAAGGCTTTGGATGTCCTTACAATGAAATGATCGTAGTGCTTAAGGAATAAAACACACTTCGGACTCCTTGCACCTGCAGCGACTTCCCGCCCTCAGCCCCGCCCGTCTCCCCCTCAGCCCCTCCCGCCGCCGCCTCATTACCAAAGCCCCGCCCCACAGCCAAACCACGCCCACAGCTCAAAGCTCCGCCCCTCACGGCCGGCCCCGCCTCTCTCGCTCCAGGCCACGCCTCTCGGCCTCCCGCCGCGCACCCGCGGCCGCGCTTAGTCACCCCGAGCCGCGGCGCGCACGGGCCCGCCCCCGCCCCGCCGCCGGGCAGCGCTCGCCCCTCACCCGCTCCCGGAGGACCGCGAGGCCCAAACTCCGCTCGATCACAGCGCCGGAACCGCCGCCACCGCCGCCCCCTGTCGCAAAGTCACCCCCTCCCCCTGACTCCTCCGCGGCTTTACGGCAGCGGGGCGGAGCCGCGGGGCGGGCCCGCCGTCAGCCCGGCGGCCAATGGGGCGCGGCGGCGGCGCGCGGGCGGGGGCGGGCCCGCCGTCAGCCCGGCGGCCAATGGCGGCGCGGCGGCGGCGCGCGGGCGGGGGCGGGGCCGGCGCGGCGGGCGCGGATTGGCCGCGGCGCGGGTCAGTCCCCGCCCGCCGACCCCGCCGCGAGCCGAGGGGGGCGGCCCGGAGCGAAGTGTCCCCGCTCGGCTCGGCCCCCGACCCCCCGCCCGCCGCCGCCGCCAGCGCGGGGGGCGGCCGCGCCCGGGGCCCCCGGCCCGCCCCGCTCCGGCACGCGGGTCCCGCAGGTAACCCCGGCTGCCCCGGGGTCTCTCGCGGCGCGGGGAGGGGGGGGGCGCGACCCCATGGCCTCCCCTCGCCCACACCGGGCAGCCCCTCCGGCGGGTGCGGGGCTGTGAGGGGAGCCCCCGGCGCTCCCCCTGGGAAGGGATGCGCAGCCCCTCACCGCCGCTGCCCGCTCGCCCGGCGGGCTCCGGGCCGCCCCCGGGGCTGCCCGCGGAGCGGGGTCCCCGTCCCCAGCCCCCGGCGGCGGGCCGGGTGCCTTGGCGGCCGCCGGGCCTCGGGGCTGTGCGCCGGGGCTCGGCCGGCTTTTTGTGTGTGTGTGTTTGTGTGTGTGTGTGCGCGGCTGACGGCTCCTGGAGCGTGAACTCCTCTGCGAGGCAGAGGTTTGGTTTCCCAGCAGCTCAGCTTTCTGGGTTACTTCCTGTCCCATTCTTTAGCACTTATCTTTACTTCCATTCCCTGGAGGAGCTGCCTTGACGGGGCAGCGGTCCTGCAGTTATTATCCCTTCAACTCCTTCGTATCCTGAGAGAGTGTCCTCCTTTTCCAGGAGAGATCCCGATTTTGATGAATAACCCCTTTCCTTCCAAATTTGTGAAGGCTCTTCCTATTTTGCCCAGTTGCTGCTTTTGTATTAACCAGTTCTGTTCTTCATTTTTCTCTTTTATGTCATTGTGTGGCTCAGTACTACTTTTATTTTATTTTTTTTTTTAGGTTTAAGCTGCCTTAAAGGAGAATTAAAAATAGTGACTCCAAAGAACAAAATAACACAGAAGAGAGAAAGCAGCACTCAAAAAACCCCCAGAAAGGTGATGATTCATTTAGACTCTGAGAGTCATCCTAGACACATAGTTTGGCTGGGATTGGGGCCTCTTGTGTTGTTATGGATTTTAATAGGTAGCATTTGATTTCTTTGTTCTTTTAAAACCTACTTGCTTTGGCTGTTGATCTTTTAAAGTTTGAAAGCTCTGAATCCCATTTGAAGTACAGTTCTTCTTGTAACACTTTATAATTTTCCAAAATTATTCTGCAAATGTTATTTTGATTATGAATTGCTGCTTAATGGGGCTTTTGTGTCTTCATCTCAGGGGTGTCACTTAAGAATACTTGGCTGTAGGTCGTTAAAAGGATCTTTTCTTTAAGTCTTTCCATAAATTTATGGGTTCAGCACTGCTTTTGTTTCAGTTTCAATTCTAAAATCTTTATTGGGCTGGGTGATGGTAATTGCATTACATTGGTTTAGTCATACTTCACTCCTGTGTGGGTCACTTTTTTGTGTGCGTGTTGTAACGGAGCTGCAAAAATTGAAATTAATTTAATTGGATGGTGTCTGCTTACAAGTACTTAACTTTTTGGGCTGAGATCATAGAAGGAGATGATGCTGTTGGGTGCTTAAGGGGAAAAAATCAAAGGAGTCATCAAATCCAATGCTGCTGGTAGGAGGGAGGTTCTGTTTCAGGGGGAGAGCTGTTCGTAGGGAGAATTGTGTGTTTTACGTGGTGAGATGAAGAAATGGATCCTAGGAGAGAGAGTGGGGGGTGAATGATGTCAGTCAGACTTTTTCTGCATCCTGCTGTCAGCGTGCTCCAAAGGATGGAGGCTCTGCGCCTTCTTCTAACGCAGAGTCTGTCTTGAAGCCATTTTAACCTGTTTCAAGTGTAGGTGAGCTTGGTTTTTTGCCTAAGATGCCCTCCCTAGAGGTCCCTCTGATCTGTGTCGTGTTTTCAGAGAGGTCACTGACTGTACCAAAACATTGTTCATTGTTGGCAATCAGTTGTTTTTGAGCATTAGCCTGCAGGAGAAACAGCAGTATTTGTTGCCAGCAGCCTTGGTCAAGGCTGGATCATTTTTCCAATACAGATGTCTTTAGATTAACATAAAAAGTGTTTGCTCTGTGTTGAAAATTAAATAGAAAATTCCTCTGTAACACAAGTGCAACAAATCCTGAGGCACACTTTGGAAGTGCAGGGAGGAAATTTTCCATGTTATTTTGATAACTCGAGAGTAATGGCAGAACATGTGGACATGCCCAGTGTGATTCCAGGGGGGATTTTCCTGCTAATAGGTGAAGCAGATGTGCATCAGTAAAGACTTACCAGTGCAGCTATTGCACAGCTGTTTAATCGGAATTTAGTTTATTATAGCCTCTCTTTCCCAACCCACCCAGTGCCTCTCACATCACGGCTGTAGCTGCTCCAACAGGACACCTCTTGGTGCCAACAGTTCATGGGATCTTTGGGATTTATTCACAACAGGAGACCTAAGTTTTCATTTGATTTGTGAAGTTCCTTCCTAGTGTGAAATGCCAGTGCAGCAAAGTTTGATTCAGATGCAGAGACTGGAATTGAGTTCATAGGAATCAGGGAATTAACTTCTGGCAGAAATTTGCACATGGTTGAACAAGGCACAGAGATCACTGATATCCTGCTCTTGATCCCTGGAAGAAATGCAGAATGTTGCAAATGTAGCAGCCCTTTAGAGAAAGCTTTAATCTTCAGGCTATATGCTCATTTTGGGTTTGTTTTTCCTCATTGTGAATCCTCAACCCTTAAAGGAAATGTACTGTCTGAGGGATGGTTTTGTTTTGTTCCAGCAATGCTTACAGAATGATATTATCACAGTGAAAATCTTGCTTTGTCCACTAAACAAATCCAACAAATTTTGGATGTCTTGGATTCTTTTAGGCTGCAATAAATAGAAATATGTATCAAATGTACTTCTAGAGATTGTTGATTGTTGAATGTTGAGATTGTTGATTGTTGAATGACCCAAACTCTGTAAGCAGTACTTGGTTTATCAGCTGTGCTGTGAGAATTAGGGCTGAAGAGACTCCTTTAATGTGGTTTGAACTCACCATTGGTTCCTGATTCTGTCATTCCATGCAGTGTTGGTGTTTGGGTGCTCTAATGATAGTAAATCATAAATCTTAGCAGTTAACACTTGCTACAAATTAATTACTTATAAGGCTAAGCTTCCATCTGACTTTTGCTGTTTAAAACTTCATGATAGCACTGCTGTAAGTTGGAGGGGAATTGGTGTTTTTTTTGCTTGGTACACAAGGCTTTCCAAGCATGCTGCAGAGCACAAGCTCCCTGCAGTTTGTCAGTGCACATCTTGAGGGAGGAGGTTCTGGCTGTGTGAACCTGATGCAGCATTCTCTACTGAAAAAGGAGCTGGAAGACCTTGCTTTAGCATCAGCACTGAGGTCCTGCCCTCAGAAGGAATTGCAGGATTTTATTCTCAGGGCTCTGCTTGTGCTTAAGGTTGCCAGTGGGGGTGCTGAGGATGGTGAGTGGTTGCTGTGCTTGCTGAAGTTGAAGTTTCCCTCAGGTTTGCAGACCTGAAGTTGATTGAGCTGGGTGATCTGTCTGATTCTCCATCAGGCCCAAACTCAGACCTCACAACCTCCTTTTGAGATGGATAATTGTAGTAAAATGACACCTCTGTGCTTCAGTTTCACCCACCTGCAGAATGTAACAACACCACCTCTAGTTCTAGGAACACCTGAAGCGTGTGGGGCATTTGTAGGTTAACTCTTTTGGTTATTTTAAATTTTGTATGTCCGAGCTACAAGCTGACCTTACAGGAGCTGTTCATGAGAAATGTGTAACTTGTAATGACACTTTGTGAGGAGGGAAGGCTTCTTCCCTTTGAAGCAGCAGTTCCTCTGTGATGGTTTGGACTCATGCACTGTTAACTCACTGCTTTCAGGCCCAGCAACTTGCATGTGTTCTTAGTAGTTTTCATCCCAGCCACAGGGATACCTCACTTGGTGTCTGTCTGGGCTGCAGCATGAAACATTCAGCAGAAAATATATTTGGGATTATAAGGCTCTGTGAAATTTTGATATTTCACATGTTACTTTCAAACTTCACGGCTGTGATGTGAGAATGCAAATGACAACACAATTGTTTGCCCTACTCTCTTGTCTGAAGAGCTCCTGGAATAGGAGTGTGAGTGACAGCTGAAATGATGGTTGTGTTTAGTTTGACAAAAATATATTGACCATTTTTAAAATGCCATGTGAGTGAGAACACATTTAGCTTGTTCAAGCTTTGAAATGGGTAGGAGAAGTGAGTTGTGAGACTAATGAAGGTTGATGTGATTTATCCTTATTCCACAGAGCTTTCCTTTTTTCTGTTGTTTATTTGATTTAAATGTCTTGGAATACTTCAACCACAGGCAACTCAGATCTACACTGATGAAGTCTATGCCAGATACTAAATGTCATGTGTAATGGTACACTTCTCTTGTTGCACAGAGTTAGGCTGACATCAGTAACTTATGGTCCTTATTCTGCTCTTGCGTGTGTAATCTCAGAGTTTAGGAATCAGGTCTTTCTGTCAGGCCGTGCAATGAGCAAAATACTGAATTTTGAGGTCTTGCTTTTTGTACCAAGCTTTAACTTTCTTTAAAGTAAGTGTATACATATGTTGGAATGAATTTTCCACATGAGGTTTGCAGTGACTTTAAAGAAGTGATGACACATTGGTGTGGAAAAGTCTAAGATCTCTTTGACAACATGAGACATTATCAATAGATAATGAGGGTGTTTGTCTTATTATTTTTATTTAGTGCTGCCTCTACTATAATTATTAGTGTTTTAATCAAACTTTGTTAAGTCATTGAGTGAGGGAGGTTTACTCTCACTAAATATGACTTATTTTTATTAAAGTTGCAGATCTTACTCTTGCCATATGCAGCTAATTTTCCTTTGGGGGGAAAAAGCTTGTTACTTTTTTAGTGGAGCAATCTGTTACCTTGTCTGTAGTCTGTGAAGTCAGTGCAATTCTAATTTGCATCAGCTAATAAAAAATGTGTGGGTTTTAAAGTGAAAATCATGCAAAAATTAAAAAAAAAAAGGTGAACGACTGATCATCTATGCAAAAAAACAAGGCTGGAAATGTGATCAAATTAGGTCATGGCAGTGCAGTTTTGTGCAGGGCTGTAAGCATATCTGAAGACCTTGTATGTTTTATCTTGGGAAGCAAAGCTCTTGGAAAATGTGCATAAGAGGGATAAAAAGGGCTTTTTTTTCATCCTCCTCTTTGAGCTATCATTGCAAAAGCATGATTTTATGTTGCATTAAATGACAGAAATTTCAACCTAATCTAAGAGCTGCACAGTTCATGGAACTGCTCTGGTGCAACTTGTTTGCAGAAGAAAGGAGGCACAGTTGGGTTTGTATGATCAGCTGTACAATTAAGTATTTAATGGTTTTATTGTTTATTACATGATTGCAGTGCTCAGATGAGATAAGGGGGCCTTTCCCTAAAAGTCTGCAGCCAAAGGAAGTGAAAGGTCAGGTAAAGGTGTACAAAGAATTAGAGAAATAACAGTGATGAGTACAGGAGGAATGGGCTGGGACTGATCCCATTAACTGCAGGTGACAGGGGTGTTAAGGAGAAGGAATCTGCACAGGGGTTGTAACTGGCTTTTGATGAACCTTGATTCTAAAAGGGTAGTTTTTCTATATGAAGGAAAGGGTGAAGAATTTTGAGCTGGTGGTTTTCTTGTATTGTGGAGGTGGCTTTACCTGTTTGTGAAACACAACGTGTGTCAGCTTGAGCTGTCACTTGAGGGAGAGCTGGTGGCTCTGCAAATCCAGCTGAAGGACACAAATCAATGGTCTGTGGGCTCAGCTTTTGTTCTTTATTTAGGGAAGCAGAGATGGGATGGAGATTTAAAACAAAATCCCCAAACCTCATACAAAAGCAACCATTTAAAAATCCCCACAAACAAATAAAAAAACCCACAAAAGTAGTTTGGGGAGAACTAAATGGATCCTGAATGTTTTTCCTGGCATCTGAGTCCTGCAGGGAGGTGTTGAGCAGTGAGGCAGAAATACCCACTGTAACCTTTATATCCATTCTTGTTCCATACAGGAGGAGCAGATACACATAATTATTACAGAAGGGTGTAGACCATTTCTTCAAGTTTTACTCCAGAGAGGAAGCACGTCCCTCATTTCTCTTGTCTTCCATAAAATATTCTCAGTAGCCTTTTCCTGATATGGCAGAAGCAAACTCTGCCCTCCCCAACCTCTGGAGGACTATTTGATAACGATAGAAAACACACTTTGGGTCTTTTCTGACATAGCTGCATGAAAATGTAGCATTCTCACACACAAACAGAATAAAACTTAGTAAACCTCTGGCTTTTATTCTTTACAACTAACAAGAAATACCATTTTTTTTAAGGGGTAGCAGGTTGTTTGACACACATGGGCACAGAAGATTATGAACAGTGAAGACAATGAAGAGTGGGACATCCATCAAAGAGTAACAACCTCTTATAAGGTAATTCAGGACCACATTGAGTTTATCCTGTTGTACTTGCAAAATCAATTAAGTAACTGTTGCTGTCCTCCATTTTCATGACACTATAAAATCATTATAACCAAGAATATATAGGTATATTCTTCCCCCCTGTGCTTCCTTTCATTTTTTTACTTGCATGCAGAAAGCCAATATGTAACAACCCAAATGCATGCTGAGTTCTGAATGAGATTGATTACAGTTGCAAAACATTAAATATTAAATGCCAAAGGACTACTTCCAGTAGTCCTTCTTCTCTTCTCCAAAGATTGATGTCTTAAATGGGGCTTTGCAAACAGGAGTTTTAAATGATCTATGGAGCAGAAGTAAAAATGTTTTCAAAGCTGGTGTGTACCTAAAACTATCCTGAAACCTTTAATGTTATGTTTAAGTATTCTTGCCATTTGAATTTCATTGCTTGCCATAGGGCTGAGATGGAAGAGTGGATATTTACAGAAACTCTGCAAGTGATAAAAGGAGCTGCCTGACTTTGTCTTCTGCTTTGTATGTTTTAGTACTTATGTACTTTAGTACCAGCTAATTTGAATAAGCTCTGCTAGTCACATGCAACATATGGAGCCAATGCCAATTTTTTATAATGCTGCATTACAAATATACCCACCAGCTGAGAAGTGTGAGAGAGAGAGCTCTGCTTTTCCTCAACCAACTGTCTTCACAGAGAGTTGCAGGGGGAAGGAACACTGCTGGCCCTTCAAATGAGAAATCCCATTTCACTTCATCTCTTTAGTCATCCCATTTCTTTCTGTAGCATTTTGAACAACTAGTCTGACCTTAATTTACAGGACCATGTGAGGGCTTGCAAGTATTGGTTCTTTACAAGAAAGGACTGTAAAAATAGGATCATAAAGTTTGTTTACATTAAGTTTTGACCAGGTATTCTCAGTTTGAAAAAGAAGTTTTCACATCTTCTTTTTGTAGGTATTCAGAAACTAGGGCTAAAAGGGATACGGTCTGAATTACAATTTTTAAAGGGTTTTGCATGACTCATCATCATCAGCTAGATTCTCCTGTCAGTTTTCACCTGCAAATCCAAAGAAGATCTTGCTCTTGCAGCTGGAATTTCATTACCAGTGCTGTTAGTGGTGTGATACAGAATAAAGTCAAGCTCACTGTCTTATAGGTGAGCATGTTCTGAAGTGCTAATTGGAGTCTAGAAAAGAGCTTAGCAAAAGCTTATTAGAGTCAATAGAAATACTTCCATTGTCATCAGATTAACCAAGTTTGATTTTTGGAATACGCTGCAAAAGCTGACCTATTGAGTTGGCCGTTGCTGCTTTGTAAATCTCCTTTTCTCCCAGTCTCAGATAATGAAGTTCACACTGTAAAACAAAACAAAGCCAGTTTCTAAGCCATGTATAACATATGGAGCTAAAAAGTATTCTTTAATAACCCTATGCTGAAGTAGTGATTGTTGCCATACATGGTAAGCTGAAGCATTTATAAATGTCAAAGACAGGCATTTTCTGTGTGCAATTTCCATATTTGCAGGGTAAATAGGGTCACTGGAGCACCTGTTAATTATGAGTTTATATCTCTCCAGAAAGCACATAAATAACTTCTATACCATGGGCACAAGGGGGTTGTAGAAGAGCAAATACACACTGTGCCTTTGTGTGCAAAGTTGGCAGTGATTGATGCTTTCACTTTTCTCTTGTCTGTGGGTATACCTGCATCACAGGAAAACAAGTGTCCAGTGGGATATGGGGAGGTGATTGCAATTTCTTTTGAATGACCTGTGGATCATGAGGATCTGAAAGTCTTTTTAATATCTAAAAGAACGTTTAGATGATGATGTGTTGACATCCCAATAAACCAGAAAATTACTGTAAATTTTAAGTTTTGCTTGAAATTAATTTTCATCATTAGAACTTTTCTTTGTACTTTAATGTTGATTAACTTTGCAGGAGTTTAAATACATTCCTCTTTTTAATCTTCTAGGTCTGTGTGAGTATCCATCCACATTTGAATATTTTCTGAGGCTCGTATTACTCAGCATTGCCTTTCTCATACCCTGCTTTTATTATTTTTTCTGATACTTCTTTCTATTTTAGGACTATGGAATATTATACACAATGTATGTGAAAATGCAATCACTTAACTTTGTGTACCAGGGAACAATCCCTAAATACCTGTTCATTTTCTTGCCCCCAAGTAGAACTGCAGATGGTACTTTTCAAACAGAGCATGGAGTACACAATATTTCTCTCTTTCCCAATGTGTGCTTGTTTCTAAGCTCTTTTACAGTGGCTATTTTAGATACCCTTTTGGCCCAGCTCTCATGTACTGTATCAAGGTAGTTATAAATTGAATTATTCTGATATATGTTCTCATGGTGTTCGTCAGGACTGTAGTAACTGCACTTAAATGTATTTTCAGGTCTCATATAATATTATCCTTGTATTTGATTTTTGGAATGTCGAAGTTATTTGCAGCCTTTGTGGACTAATTAAGAAGTGCTCAAACCAGAATACAAACAGTAGACTCTAATTAAAAAAAAAAAAGGGGTGAAAAAGGAAAAAGATTATTATAAAGTTTTCAATTTGAACGTTAGTGTTACTAATACTCACATGCAGAAGGTCACAGGATTCTGTTGGTAAGATATTTTCACTGAAGCTTACAAGGGGTACATTTCTAGAAAAATAGAGTATCATAGTTACTGTAGCAGTGCAGTCGTGCTTCCTGCAATTATTTGGATTATCTATTCCATAGTTTGGAAAATCCATTTAACCAGTGTCTCTGGAGGTAGTGATATTAACCACAGTGTGATTTTGAAATGAATGGTGGGTTCTGAAGATTTTTCATTTTGCTCATTGCTTGGTTGCTTTAATTGTGAACTGCTGTTTGATGCTGTCATTTCTGAAGAAAACATTTACTACTTATAATGTGCAAATGTCCTTTTCTTTTGCAGTTCAGTGATGTCACCATGTACTATGATTTTGCTAATAAGAGTGAGATCATTTGGGGTTTATCCTCTGTGTAGCATCACTTTTCTCAGCATACAGAGAGACGTCTTAACATCGCATTCCATTAATCCTTTTTTTCCTACATACCCCATTTCTGATCCCAATCCTAATTTATTCCTGCTTCCCATTGATTGAAGGTGACTCTAGTGAGCTCATGAGGCTCCTGTAAAGGCCAGACTCAGCTAGGATGTTACACCACCACTGCAGGAGGAACCCTGAGCTGCAGGAAGAGTTGCAGATCCAGGCTGCCGTGGCCGCCGGCGATGTTCACACCGTGCGCAAGATGCTGGAGCAGGGATATTCTCCAAACGGTCGGGATGCCAATGGCTGGACCTTGCTTCACTTCTCTGCAGCAAGAGGCAAGGAGAGATGTGTCCGTGTTTTTCTGGAACATGGAGGTGAGTTGTCCACAGAGAAAAGTCTTTATACTCATCTGACACCTTTCTGTCTCAATTTGCACTGCAGGGCTTTCCAGTACTGGTTAGATATCAAAATACATCTGGTTATCTTTTGTAATTATTTTTTATTCTTTGGTTCTTAATATCTGTTTATTTCTGATGCATACTCTGTAAATGACATCATAGCTTAGCTTTATAGCTTTAATAACTTTTTTCCCCCAGCATTGCCTAGGAATTGTTCAAGGAATGAATAAGCATTATGAGAATAGGGCATTATAAGGACTCATTATAAAATGAAATGCACTCACAGCACTCACTACAGGCTTTTCTTCTCTGTTAGGGGGTATTATTAGAGGAAGGCAGATCCCTGAATTGAAATCCTAGGGAAGCTTGTTTCAGAATTCTAAAGCAAGTTAACCAGTTGCATTAAAGACTAAGTTTAATATAGGCTTTAACAGAATCTACTAAACTTTATGAAAATAGTCCTCTTTGTGCAAGGACTTCAGTGTCAGCTAATCCAGATTAGTTTGCAACTCTTGCATCCAACCACGATGAAACTTTATTTCAAGAACTGACTGAGTTTTGTTGATTTAAGTGGTACTCATGTGGGTGATGATTATTATCCCTCAGGTGGTACAGTCAGAATTTCTCATTGCTTTATCATCTTCCAAGGCCATCTGAAGCTTTAGAAAGGGATCATCCTAATCTTTTAAAGTGGTACTGGAGAGGAAATCAGTAGATGTTCTCCACATTTTGATCAGTGCTCTTGAAGAACAGCCTCCTCTATTCTAGCACTGTTCTTACCAAATGAATTATGAGGTTTTCAATCCTAAGGAAACTGAAATGATCTTTCTGATGCTTTGTGTATCTGAGCCATATGGTCCCCTTGTGGCTGTCACTGGGTTTGTCAGCTGTATGGATCATCCTGAAAGTGGAGTGGCATTAACAGGCTGTGGTAGTGGCACAATCAGTGGTTTGTTCCTTAAGAGCAGTGGTGAAATACAGCCTGAGCAACTGGACTCTGTGGATGCATCTACTGCAGATTGTAACCACATAGAAAGGGCAAACCCTCATGGCCTTATTGGAAAGGGGAAAAATATAAATATATATATTTATATATAATATATAACTTTAAATTCCACTTTTTAAAGCGGATAATATGAAGCCTTCAAAAGTTTAAGGCTTGAAGTCATGTACATTGATTTTAACTTTTTGTCTGTAAGTTTAAAGATGATAAAAATTCCTTCAGTCCCTTCTGTATTCCTATGTATTTTCATTTTATAGGTTTTCATAGCTGCTGATGCAGTGGTTTGTTTTTATTTTTGTTGTTACTCTTTCCCATACAAAGTAGCAGCTGAATGTGATGCCTCATGAAAACTGCCTGTAATGAAACACCTTTGTCCTGAGGCAGCTTGGAGTTGAATCACCGGGATGAGAAAGTTGAGTAACAAATAGTGTGAGGTTTAGTCATCCACAGCAGCTTCCCTGCAGCTGAGCCTTGCTCCTGAAAATTGGCACTGCCTGGTGCTTTGCCTCATTTTCCCTCAAAACAAAGGCATAAAAATAATGAGTATTTATCACATAATAATGTCACAAATGAGTTATTAAGCAGAAAGTGAGTTGACTCTTACAAACTGAGTTAATCATGCCACCCTCATTAGAGAGAGGTTTGTGTCTACCTTTGCTCACGTGGTCTCTACTTTTCTCCCTCTGGAATGGATTGTTTTGCTGCTGGTGCTTAATCTCTGTGGAGCAAAAAAAAGATACTGAGGTGGAGGAAAAAGTTCTTTTCTGTTGTGAATCTTATGGTAAAATAGTATTGTATATTGGTAATAAATTGTCACTGAGAGGGAGCCTGTGAAGTTCTGGGGGAAAAAGGGAATTGAGATGGGAAGGAAGGGGTGGCTGGTGGTGATTGTGGCTGTCTGGAGGGGTGACAGAGCTGAGCAGAGCTGGGAATATTTTCATGGGGAAAATAGGAGTGGGAAAACCACAGTGGGCTGTTGCTGAAGGTAGAGTGCTGTGCCTCAGATCTGAGATGCTGGAAGGCTCCCAGCGTAGCCTGCTAGTGGGATGGAAGGTGGGTTGGGCAAATAAAGGCTCAGAAGGAATCTGGTCACTGACCTGGAAATAAAAAGTAGATTCTTATGGGAGTCATGACCTGTCCGCCTCCTGCTTTTGCTTTTTCTCTTCCATCATTGCTCACCAGCAAAGAAAAGAGCCAGAGGACAGTGTTGTGCATGCAGATTGGCTGATTTGAGTGGAGGTGGTGGAACAGCAGGAAGCTTTTTATTATCTGCTGAGGAAGGAGACACAGACAGATGAGGAAAAGGCAGAAAAAACAGGCCAGACTGAAGGATGAAGCCAACAGAAATACTAACTAGATACAGAGGGAATAAGTCAGGCAACAAATATTATTTAGCAACTGGTGAGATGCAGAAAGCTCATCATAACCATGGAGAAACGTAGTTTTCATAAGAAATAATGAATTCGACTTTATTATTAGTGTATTTGTCTCATTTTATTAAAGTGAATATTCTATGAAGCCATCTCTTCCCACCCATAAATATGATCTGGAGTCACAAAGCAACACCAAAACAGAGAATGTAGTTTTTAGTAATCTAGTAAAACAGGCCTTTTTTCCCTTTAGTGTACTCTGTAAATTTTTAATATGACATATAGAGACAGACAATCCAACACTGGTCAAGAAATATGTTTTATTAATTTTCAGCCACTGCTATTAATGTTACAACAAGCTAAAATCTTGCAAGTGTCTAGTTAGCTGTCCCTTGGTGATATCTTCTTAGTATTAACTGAGCACTTCTGGTTATTCATATTAAAATGAAGAAATAATTCACTAAAGCTCCTAGAAATGAAATAGTAAAAGAAAATAGCCAAACAGCCATATTTATTTATTTTTAGTCTTGGCTTCAAGGTATCTAAATTTTAGTAAGGTCATGCAGAATCTGGGAGGACCTAGAGAATGCCAAATACTCACCCCTCCTAAGCTCCTAAAGTGTTTCTGTCTCTGAATAGTAATGCTTTCCTGGACATCTTCTGTATCAATGTTATCCCAGGAAATTCAAAACAGAAGCTGCATGTAGCCATGTTTCTAAAACTTGTGGTCAGAATTAAGCTCTAGCTGAGGGAAATAAGCTTGAAATAATAGAAGTACTCAATGAAGCCAGAAGCATTGCTTAAGCATTGCTTTCTTGGCTCCCCAATTTACTGTGATAGAGTGACCTAAGGAAGGTGTCAAAGAAAAAGGAAAACTGTCCCACTGAGCTGTAAATTGAAATTCTGAAATAAGGGTATTTTATTTATGAATCTATATATCCTCTCTCTTGCAGTATTAGAAAGAGTTTTATTAACAGTGGACTTTAAATAACTAGCATAGGTGCCCAACTTTCACATGAAATAAAATAATCTCAGTATAATTCAATGCTACAAATTTTCTGTCTGGAGTGAGCTTGATTGCAGTCATTGGTACCCTTGATAAGCTGTTCAAGGTTTCTGCCATTATATTTTGCCTTATATTTAAGAACATTAGAAGTGACCAAATGCAGTTGTTCATGTTTCTACATTCTGCTCTCCCCATATTAATGGGAAGCTTGGAATGAAAGAACTGTTTAACAGTCAGGATGGAGATGAGATAGAGAACTGCTGGAAAGTGCTGGCTTGATCCCTTTGTAGCTAAAAACTGCCAGGTAGTTTTTACCCCTCTGCAGATTCTAAAAGGTTATCTGAGAGTCATTCCCAATTCATTTTTACCTTGCTCATGTTCCAGGGGAAGAGAGCTGCTTTACAATATGATACCAATACTGAAAATTTTAGAAAAATCAGACAAAAGCCCCACAGCAGCACAAGTTTTTTAGGCAGCATCACCTTTGGGGTGTTACTTTTATTAAGACAGGGACTGAGTGGATGGAATTTGTTTGCAACTTCATGCAGGTCCATCCTCTGCTAAAAGCTCGTGTGAAATTCGGGAGTTTTCCAGGAGGTGGCAGCAGGACATTGATGGAATAGCAACAGACATTCTGATCCTGTTAAAATTGTTTCTCTAATCCAGAGGCAGACTGTTGGCTCACTGGAAATCCATAATCTTAATGGGAATTACAGTATATTTTCACGAGGTTTTTCTAAGGGCTTTGTTATGGAAAGGTTGTTTGTGTTGCTTGGTAGCCCAACTCTGAGGTTTTTTTTCCTATCCTTAAGAAACTTCTCTTACATGACTTAGTAATTTTTTGGTTCACTTTAGTGGTCAAAAGCAATGACATTTTGGGAGTAAGGAAGGTGTGGAAAGACATTTAAAACTGTAGGCAAAAGGCATCCTTATGTTGCAAAGAAATTGTTTGGTTTGGATTACAACAACCAGTATAAAAGTGCATATGGGTGCACATATAAAAGCTGGGCCATATCTGCTTGAATTTGGAAATGGCTCTGATTAAACAGGTTTGTGGTAATGACCTGCACCTCATTTGGGGGTTGAAATGATGCCTTGCATGTCTTATGAAGTGTGGGAGAGAGAAGGTACAACTGAAACATTATTTCTTTTAAAAATGGTTTTTGGTGGAAGACACAACTCTGCCTGCTGCTGTCTCCTATATGGCATGTCCCTCATTGTCCCCATTTCTGCCCCTCAGATTGTCCCATCCCTCTGCTTGTTCTCATGCCTGTTACCCACTTTATTTATCACCACTCAGAAGTCAATGCAGAATAGTCTGAGCTATTGTGAAGAAAGATACCCTGGGAGCAACATCACTTTGAAATATTATCTTTGTGTGGGTTGTGCTGATTCTTTGCTGCATTTTGGACAGGATCTCAGTGCAGGTTAAGAACACCCATTTAGTCACTGGCTGCATTTTCCTGCTGAGCTGTGGGTGCTTTATTCATTCCTTTAGCTCAGGTTAGTGTGACTTTTCAGAGCACTGAAACTTCTGCTTTTCATGGGAGATTAGGAAAGCTGTCACTAGCAAGGAACTAAACTTTCCTTAACATATTCCTTATTTTTTTATGTTTATTCCTATTCTGTGCACTAGAGGCAGTTCTCACATCTTATTTCACTGTGTAGCCAGGCTGCATTCATTTTTATGGGGTTTTTTTTGTTGTTGTTAGTTAGTTTCCTTCCTTCCTCTCCATCTTCTCTTTCCATTTAGAAATATCCTTAAAGTTGCTGAATCATCTTTCTAGCTGTATTATCTACTCCTTTCTTCCAGTCTTTTGATTTTGGTTTAATATCTGTCTTGGTGTTATCTGCACATGATCACAGTGGGTTGGAAAGCTTATTCCTTGTTTGTGTTTGCACCTTTGTGTGTTCAGGTGTGTTCAGTCTCGGGTAGCCTGCAATTAATACTGTATTTTGTACTTAGAGCAGGTCTTCTGGTGCAGATGATCTCTAACATAGGTTGGGAAAGTGTTCAGACTTCCACACTGTAGTTTGTACCTTTTAGTGTCCAACAGCAGCAGCCATAGGAAGGAGAAACCTCACAGCCTGGCTTGTTCTCTAGCTGAAAAATGGCACCTTGCCTTGGGTAATTAATTAGTCACTTGTTATACAAGTTTGGGTGTCCTGAAGAAATTAGGTAAATTGATTGGATTATTTTAATTTTTAAATTAATAAATTAGTCTGAGTGTTTGTGCTGTGTGAAGGGGAATTAAATCTGTAATTACCTGTACTCTGCACTAACAGTTTATCCGACTCCTTTCAGAAGTGGGTTTTTACATTCTTGAGTTCTTGTGAAACTATAAATTCAGAACAGGTTCTAAACAGATTCATCATCTATGAAAAGAGACTTTATCGAGATAATCTAAAATAACATATATCCTACATGCTTTGGAAATCCTGCAGACCACAGAGAAGCATTTTACCTAATACATCATTACACCCTAAAAACAATACAATGCTGCCAGACCACAAAACATCCACAATTTGGGACAGCAGATGTTTCTACACATGCTTCTTTTTAAGACCAAGAAGCAACACAAGGGAAAATAAAAAGTTGAACATTGAGAAAGAAATGTAATATTGTAGAGCTGGGGGAAAACTGGATGGACAGGGAGATTTGAGTAATTAGTAATTAATTCCTCAGAGTGCTAGGAAGATGTAGAAAAGTATTTGTCAAATGGAAACATATGTAGGAGAAAGAAATATTTTTTTTGTAATTTGTTCTTAAATACAGTTTTAACTTTGTCTTAAAAATAGCATGTTCATGAAAGCACAAATTAGTTTGAAGTACAAAAAATCCTGTTATGCTATGCCTGGAAAGACTGGCAATTACTGTTTGAATTTATTTTTTTAAAATTTTTTTTTTTTTTTCAGCACCGGATTACCGTAACGCCTTCTAATTCTGTTTAAATTTTATTTTAACTTCAGCTGATCCCACAGTCAAGGACTTAATTGGAGGCTTCACTGCTCTGCATTACGCAGCCATGCATGGCCGGGCGAGGATTGCACGCCTGATGCTGGAGTCCGACTACAGAAGTGACATTATTAATGCCAAGAGCAACGACGGCTGGACTCCCCTGCACGTCGCTGCTCACTACGGCAGAGACTCCTTTGTCAGGCTCCTCCTGGAGTTCAAGGCCGAGGTTGATCCGCTCAGTGATAAAGGTACTACACCACTCCAGCTGGCCATTATCCGGGAGAGGTCAAGCTGTGTGAAAATCCTCCTGGACCACAATGCCAACATCGACATTCAGAATGGTTTCCTGTTACGATACGCTGTGATCAAAAGCAATCACTCGTACTGCCGAATGTTCCTCCAGAGAGGGGCCGATACAAACTTGGGGCGCTTGGAAGATGGACAGACACCCTTGCACTTGTCTGCTCTTAGAGATGATGTGCTTTGTGCACAAATGTTGTATAATTACGGAGCAGACACTAACACAAGGAACTATGAAGGACAGACCCCACTGGCTGTTTCAATAAGTATTTCTGGAAGTAGCCGACCCTGTCTGGATTTCTTACAAGAAGTGACAAGTATGTATGTAAGAGAAGTTAATCACAGGACACAATGTCCTCTAAAAGCCTTCTTTGAATTTAGCCCCCAGAAAAAATAGAAAAAAGCTTCCTCTCTGCCCCTTGATGCTATTTAAATGCAGTAGAAAATTTCTGGGAAGGTGAAGGGATTGTGATACTGGGGGTTTCTTACTCAGCAAAGGTGCTAATGTTAAGTGTACTTCATTTAAATTAGTTTTGTTTAAGTATCTATGGGAAGCATTCATTTTAAAGGAGTGAACTGTAAAATCTCATTTTATTTCTGGCCTTAGCACATAAGATTTTTGAGTTTGGTTTTGTTGTTTGTTTAGGGGATTTTTAGTGTCTTTTGTTTTGCTTTTTTATTGCCATGCAAATGCTCGGCAGTTGATGGCTTTTTCATCTGCACTACAACTAGAGCAGAAGAGAGCTTTGGCTGCTTTGTGTTCTCCCACATTCCCTCCTTCCCTCCCTTAAACCAGACAAAAAAATGCCACAGTTCATTCCTGCAACTTGAACGGATTTCATGTGCTGTGTAGCTTTGATTTGATTTTGTTGATGTCTTTGAACTAGGAGAGATTTTAACTCATCATGACTTCTGATATTTAGAAAAAGCATTGGGCTCTGAATATCTGGATCACTTTTGATTACCAGTTTTTCATGTATTAGATCTATTGAAAGTTTTCCTCTCTCAATATGGTTGCTATACTAATGTTTTATAATCATAGTATTTCCTAAAGCATTTAGGAATTGCTGATAAGCATTTGGCAGAGTTTGCCAATTCAACTATGTTAAGATGGCCTGGTAAATTATCATCCAACTAGAATGATCTCTGCACTACAGAGGATGTGGTGTTTCATATATCCTTTTTCGTCCCCTACAGCTCCTTTTATTTCTTTGAATGTGGTAATTTTTTAATGAGAATTAGATAACCTATATACTTTGTAAAGAAACTGAAAGTCAGTGTGGGCTGGAAGTGAATCAGCTGAGATCTGTTGTCAGTAGCTGACACAAATAAGCATTTGGAATTTCCTTTCTTTTTCTACATGATTTGTGGTATTGTTTTTGCTCATATCTGAAATCGAAAGAGAATTTCTGGAAAGGTGGAAGTTGGTAATAAGATATACAAGCAATTAAGCAATTTTGGTTTAATTTGCCTGCCCCTTCTCATTCAAACACATTTCTTTCTGGTTTCCTTTTTGGAAGCCTCTCACTATATAGTTGCAGTGTCAGGGATTTTAGGAGATGATATAATGTCCTTGCAGTTTTTCAGTCTTAGGATGTATCAGTAAGCATGAAAACTTAGGCTGCTCCCGTGTTTCCTAAAGATCAGGGGAAACAGGAACTGTAACTTTCAGCTTGCAGATTCCATACCTTAAGGGTTTAATGTTAAGTGAGAAGTAAATTCTACTACAAAAAAATAGTAGCTTTAATTTGTGGCCAGTGTAAGAGTGTTGGAACTATTCCAGTTCCATGCTGTTGGAGGGAGAGCTGGGAAAGCAGTGCTGACAAAAACAGCTCTGTGCTTCTGAGCAAAATAATTACAAATATATGTTTACAAACCACTGTAAACAAACTCTGCTGCCCTTTTTGTAAATATCCAAACACTGTCTTCCCTGCTTTTCATTAATAATTACTTTAATAAGATGCTGTATAAGAGATGAGATGGATAAAGAGCAAGCTGGCATTTTGATAGTGGAATTCCCAGTTAAGTCTGACTGTACAGAGAATTGTTGAGATCTCATGCTGTAGTACTTTGGGGAAGAATCTTTTTTATGAGTCTACTGCAATATGTATTTTCTAGAAAAAAAAGTTTACAAAATTTTTGGACAATTCTTCTGTTGGAATTCTTCCTGAAACTCTTCTGAGGTTGGCAACAGTGCCTTGTTCATGGGGCTTAACAGGAATTGCAGTTTATTTGAATCTTATACTAAGTGATTTATATAGAAATTCATAGCTGTAAGTTTTATATCTGCATCTGAAGTTTTGAAGAGTATATTTGATAGTAAAACAGGAAACAGTTTTTATTTTTACAGTAGAGTAACACTTTTAAGGCTAAAGATTAATAGATATTTAATATCAAAGTTATCAAACCAATCTGTGTCTTCAAGTGAAAGCAGTTGCATGCTGCATATAAATGAGATACTATTTTAGTAATCTATATAAGCTGTGAAAAGCTATTTTTTTTTTTTTTTTGTACTTGGAAAACATATTTGTGCAGTTTCAGTTTCTCAGAAAACATAATTTGTGAATTTGTTTTGGTAGATATTGTAATTGTAATAATGGCAGCCTTTAGCCCAGGTCCCCGGTTGGGAATAACAGGCAAGAAACCAAGCTCTCAGAAATACTCAGTATTGGCCCTGAGAGTCTGCAAGAAGATACTGGATGTTGGGGTTTGACCCTTAAGGCTGATATTCTTCCTGGTTACAGGTAGAGATTCTTTGCTCCTAGAATAATTCCAAGAGGAAATTATTCTATAGTTGTATTTCAGTATTTAAGCACAAAGCTGGAAGTTAGGAACAACAGAGTTTTTGACCATGAGTCTGCTGTTGACTAGGTGTTCAGACTTGTGTGTTTTTCTTTTTCTGCCTCTCTCTTTTTACAATACAAAAATAAGCAAAGTCTCCCTGGGAAAAAAAATATTGAAGATGAAAACTGCTCAATGATTTTATTAATCACCTTCCTTTTCATTATCTGTATTACTTCTCCTTTTCCAAAAAACATTTATTTGCAGCCACCGTAGTACCTAAAATCATTTGGTAAAGAGTTGGTTTGGAGCAGTGTAAATGTTTCCATTTTCACGTGGTCTGAACCTGCCTCTTCAGGAGTTTTAATGTGTTAAGCTTGGAATGCACTAATTCAAATTAAAGTAGAGAAGCTGGTATGTGATATATAGAAAGACAGAGATGCATAACGACTATTATTGGTAGTGTATGTATTTATAAAATTACTGTGCAATCACAGCCCTGGATGAAATTATTTATTTTGAAGTTGAATGGTATTTGAGAGTATTAAAACTTATAAAATGAATGTGGGAGGTAGAAAAAAATGCAAGTGTTAGAAAAATATGTAAGGGCTTAAATAAACTTCAAGATATTAGAAATTTCAATTAGGATCTTTAGAGAAGGGAACTTTAAAAAAGCCTGGAAACTTCCCCCTCCCAATAGCCCTCCTTTAATTGAATCTGTGTTCAGTTCAGGAGCAGGAGAGGCTGTGAGGAGCTGCTGGTCTGTGTCGAGGCAGAGCTCAGGAAATGATCTGCCCAGAGCAGTGTGAAGTGGCTGGTGTGGAAACAGGTACCAAAGAACTCAGTTCTGGAACAACATCTAAAGCTCACCCAGTGAATTTAACTACAAATGTTTCAGCTGCATTCCTTTTCTAATTTTTCAAAGGACAAATCTGTGCCTTTGACTAGACAGTGTAATTTTGTGTTTAAATTTATATAGCACTGTAAATCTGCAGAATAACTGAGACAGAAGTCCTGTTAAGGAAATTCTTAATCCTATACATCCTTTGTCTCTATCCCTTGGCTAACTCAAGATAACTTTTTGCTACAATTTTATTTTTTAACTGGAAGAAGATTTAAAAAAGTTTATCTCTGCATAGTTTTAATTTTTATAAATACAAAAGTGTCATAGTGAATTAAGTATATTTGTAAATATTTTATTTCATGGGTAATTGCAAAGGAAATGGTATTTTCATGTTTGTAATAACATAGCAGATCTTTACTGGAATCTCAGGCTTTACTTGTTTCCTTGGATGCCGCTGGAAATCTTGCAGTGATGATTGAAGTCTGCTTTGTCATCCAGTTACACAGAGAACTGGGATAAGGGGATTATTTTTTAATTTTCTACTCTACAGTTGACTATATTAAGTAGTTGAATCATATTGCATGGCTATATACAGTTATTTACTTTGAAATAGTTTTTAAGAGGTCTTCATAAAAAGAATCAAAGACTGTTTTTATACGTGGCACTTAAGGTACAGCCATGCTCTACTCCCATTTGTACACCTATGCCGTATTCTGCAGAAATAATTTTAAAATAGCATAACAATGCATCTTAAGCCTATCTTGATGTTCAGAACACTTTACTTACTGTCTCCTAAAAATAGATAAACATTATGGTGTTGAAATTCTTAGCTGCATTTCCATAGCAATTTCAGTGAGACTGAATTTACAGAGATGTCACAACTTTTCTTTTAAAAATACCTTTGCAAGCATATTCAAATCTTAATTTCATTGCCAAATACACCTGTTAAGTATAACATTGAGCCTCGCTGACATTCTGCTTTTTCATATAGGAATTTTCAGTCCAAAATAGTACATAATTTCCGTGCCAGATAGACTGAAATTTAATACACATCTAAAAGTCATTGTGGGGAATTATTTTTCAGAGACCAATGAAAACATATGTCAGGCTCAGACATTCTAGCAGAGGCACACTGAACACAAAATTAAATTAGAACTTTTAAAATAACTTGTATGATACCCAGTTAAAAAGCTCTCTGTGTCCTGTCAAGCTGGAGGAATTTGTTCACGCTCTCAATGCACACTCTTTATTTCTACACTCATCTCTGCATGTCTGATATTAATATTTTAGACCTATAGATTTTTGATGTTAGCTTTTTCTGGTCTTTTGAATGCTGGAAATTATTCCAATAGTCTCCAGTTCTTCTGCTGTTGTTTTTTACAGAGTACAGACAGTGCATTTCCTAAACTTTAGACCTACTGCACTGAGCAGCCGAGTTCCCCTTCAGCTCAGCCTCACTCATTCCCCTGGTGATCCCAGCCTTTCCCTATGATCCCATTTTTGTGCATCCTCCCAGTGTTTTGTGACTGGTAGGTGTGAATTTCCAGCTGATAAGTTCAATTATCCTTTTCATTTCCCCCCCTCAAAAAAGCCAGCAAATTCAGAACTCAGTTTAATTGCCAGCACTGACTGCATTCCTTCAGCGCTGTGAAATAAGGGATGGATTTAAGGGCTTGCTGCAGAAATAAATGCTTTTCCTGATATTCTAGAGGAACTGAGCTGTTGCCAGCATACATCAGCCTGGTTTCAACATATTTTGTAAAATGTTTTAGAAGATTTTTATTTTTAAGTTCCCTTTGTAGCTAAAAAGAAATTACCAAATGGTTTCTCGCTACTGTTTTCAGCCTTTCAGAATTCCCAGGAGGGGCAGAGGCTCAGTTTGAGAAACACCACTCTAAGGGTTTTTGGAGAGATACATTAATATTGTAGAGAAAACTGTGGGCGGCTTCTGAAATATATCACTGATGTTATTTTTCATTTCTTAATTTCTTCAGAATCAGCCTATCCACTTGAAACCAATGGCACTGATTGTTTGCTTTAGAAGTACTTTTCTTTTAGTACTTAGAACAATACATCAGAGGGGATCTTCTTGCAGCCTACAATGTATTAATTTCAGTTATTCCCAAATTTTCTCTTGGGTAACAGAAAGGTCAATTCATTATTGTTGCATTGTGTTTTTACATGGATTTTTTTGCTCTCTATCTGCAGTGGAGGAAATGGGTAGGGATTCCCCATTTCCAGCTTTACAGTACCAGATGAAAGTTCCCAAAAAAGAGTGCTGTCAGAGGCATCACATATATGCCTCAATGGGCCTTAAATATAGACTTATTGGATGAGTTAGTGTTTTATTTCTTGGGGAGCATTGTCTGCAGAGGGAAGGCACAGGTATAAATGCAGAGCAGTTTTAACAGTGACTCAGTTCTTTGGCGAGATAGCAAATCCTAAATAAAAGTTTTGTCTGCCTTGGGGATACGACAACAAACTCTCAGATATCATACCAGAAAAATTTTGACACTGCAAAAAGGCAAAGAATGGAGTTTTGAGTGGAAAATCAGATTAATTGTAATAATTTCTTGCTGTTAAAATATGATTTTTTTTTTCCTTTTGCTTTACCAGAAAAATCTGATCTTTTGATAATAATTTAAAAGGCTCATTTCATTATTCAAGTAAAATAATTATTTAAGTGGGAGAAAGCTCAGAAACTTACTTTTTTAGCAGCTGAAGAACTGATTTAGGAAAGTGCTTGAATTTTATACATACTTAAATCTGCTGCATCTAGACTAGAAAAAATCAAAGAGCAATTCCTCTTGATTCTTTAAGCTCATGCCTTACATTTCTTCTCTTTGGAAGAAGCTTTTCTGTCAGGTTTGGGACACTGTACACAAGAATTGCATTGGTGGGGATTTCTGCTTTTCTTTCCAGCACAGAGCACAAGCTCTGGAAGGCAAAAGATGAACTACGCTTCTTTTTCCTGTAATTAATTCTTCTAATTTATTTGATTACTGCTTTAAAGCTTGCAAAATAAATTGACTGTATGTAATGATTTGGTGAACAGATGAGCAAATCCAGAATAACAGCAACAAGGTGGCCCTTCAGGGATGTGCTGGATGTTTTTAAGGTGATCAGTAGTTTTATGTGGCTGTTTTGCATGATAGTGGTAATTAGGCCAGTTGAACCTTTCATGTTTGTGGGGTTTTTTGTTTCTTTCTCTTTTAATTCTCTTCCTTTCCAGCTTATTTGCCTAAATAACTTCCCAAACTTGTGATGCAGGATATAACCAAAGTTGCAACTTCCTAATGGTTTTTAAAGAGAGCTTTATTCAACATTTAACTTGTCTTACTTTGCCAAGTTACTAATAACATTTTTCATTTGCCAAACTAAGGTTCACTGACATCGGTCCGTAATCCTTTATTTTTTTTTTCCTTTTCATTCAGATGCAACCAAGAATGAGTAAGTGTTCCAGACACCGTTTCTAATAAATCACAAATGCATTAATAACCCTGGAATTTGCAAGGCGTGACCTAAGACACCAGCAGCCACTAGATGCAGCAACTGGTGCTTAACACTGGAAATGTCCATTGTTAACACATTCCCAGGAAATATTTTTTAGGCTTATCAGGGGAAAATGTCATACATTTGATAATCGGGTCTTTTTGAATTAACTGATGACCAATTTCTTCTGGGTATTTTAAGTTGTCTGTTCTTTTATGTTCTCAAAAACCACGTAGGATGTTAATTAAAAGGCATTTATTTCTGAAACCAGAAATCAGTGTCTCATAGCTGATTTATTGTGTACTCTACTACAGAAAATACACAAAGTCCTCTAGTCCTTCATTATTTCTAATGCTGCTGTTTGTAGTCAGCTTTTGCTTTCTGAACCCTGTTTTAAAGCATCAGAACCATTTCTTTATCACCATTAAGATTGCTTGGTTTCTTACAAAAATAACTTTCCTTTCCCTGAAGTTTGAGTGTTCTGCTGTTGTCCGAGTTGCCTAAATTCTTTCCTTCAGGTGGAAAAAAAAATTGCCAAGAAGAAACCACTGGTGGACAGAGTAACCATTGGTCTGTGTTCTAAGTCACGGATGAAGGATTTAATTAAAAACAAATTGACATTTAGGTGGTGATAAGTATAATAAAAGTATTTTCAGCTTACATAAAGGAAACTCAAATTTTCATGTTTTTCAAATTTCAAACCTAATTTCTTTAAAAGCAGACTGAAACTATTTTCATGCATTACTTCTGCTGGCTTGCCCTGGATAATTTTAGTGCTTAAGATAAATCCCAGTGTCTAAAAATCCCTACCTGCCTGTCAGGCCATTTCTATAGATACCAACAGAAGCACCTACATTGTTCAGGGTGCTGAGTATTTTGAATTTGACAGTCATCAGGTCTTGGCTTGGAGGAAAAAAAAAATTAAGAAAAAGAGGCTTACACAGTTAAGTCGGTGATCAAAATATTGATTAGCACAGCTTTGATGTGTTACTGGAATAACTCCAAAAAAGCTGTAGCAGAATGAGTAAAAAGCACAAAGGCAGGCAGTTTGTTCAGAGGTTTGGAGTGGTTCCCGTGTTGGGGGTTGTTGGCTGGAATTTTCAACTTTGGGAAGAGGTATCAAGCATGAGTGGAGGATGGAGGTTTATATAAAGGTATGTAAAATTATGACTGGCGTGGGAACAATTATTCATTATTTTTCTTGTAACTCAAAGAATGGCAGGCATGTAACAAAGCCATCAGGAAGCAGATCTAAAATAAATAAAATTACTTTGCAGTTTTCCAGCCAACGCCTAATTATATTGTGAAATTTGTTGCCACAGGATGTTTTGGATACTGAAAGTATGAATGGGTTCAAAAAGCACTAGACAGATTTACAAAGGGCAAGCTATTCACAGCTATTAAAGACATAGATCTGTGTGCAATCTCTGGGTTAGGAAGGCCCAAAGGCACCAGTGCTGAAAGCTAGAAAGGTTTATTGGGGCAGGATTTCTCAATGTCTGTTGTTCTGCTCTTTTTCTCTTTCTTTCTTCCTTGGGATCCATTGCTGGGTGCATTCAGATACAAGACTTCATTAAATTTTCTGAGATTATTTTGGATAGAAGGACCAAACCCCAATTGTTTCTCAAGGTGCTTGATTTTGAGTAGTTTCCTGGTAAGAACGAGCTTGAAAGAGAATTGATTATTTTGTAAAATCCTTGCCAGGAATGCTGAAGTTTGTATTTATCCTTGGTTAGGTCAAATTTGGGAGAAAGGACAGCCTAGGACAGCGTGATAACAGAAAAACTTTTCCTCTGTGGACAGTGATTAATTCACATTTTCATCCCTTTCTGTTGGATGAGGGTTTGGCTGCATCCAAAGCCTGAAGGCTTTATCTTTTCATGAGAAGGGAAGGAAAACCCCAATCTTTAAATCTGCCACAGCTATCCTAGAATAACTTTCATAAATCCTCACTTTCTGAGGAAACTTCTTAGTCCTGTTACAGCTGAATTTATAAGTTCCTGACTCATTGTTTGAAAGAAAAGCAAGACTGAGGGGTTTTTCCACCAGAGATAGAAAAAAAAAAATCCACAAATTTAAATAGAGGAGTTCTGCTGTTCTGTAATGCATAAACATATGTTGCCATCTGGTGGGAATCCTCACATAGGTGAAATCACTTTACACTGGCATCAGTAAAATGTGCATATAAAAATGTTTTTAGGATTCATCCCTTGGTTTCATTGAGTTCATTAAAAAGGTATTCACTTGTAATTCTCTTGTAATTTTTCCCTTCCCTCTCCCTCTTAGGAAACAGCAAACCCTTGTCATTTTGCAGAGTAAATGATGTCTTAAAATACATTTAAAATGTGATCATTTTATTTTTATGTGTTCCTTTTGTCTTTTCAGGGCAGCCCAGAAACTTGCAAGATCTATGCCGAATTAAAATCCGTCAGTGTATAGGCCTTCAAAACCTCAAACTGCTTGATGAACTACCCATTGCCAAGGTCATGAAAGACTACTTAAAACACAAATTTGATGATATCTGATATCCATGAAGAGAGGAACTGTGAGCAAGTTTAGTTCTATTCCAGATACTGAAGAGGCTTGTTGCCTTGCACAAAGTATATCCTATGCAAATTCTGATTTTTCTGTGAAGTCAGAAGGCAGGTATACACTTCCTTGGGTTTTTTATACCACAAGCTAGAAGGTCTTAATTTTTGGTTTCTTGGTCCAAGTTTACAAGGTCCAAGCTTTCTATACAATATTGCATTTTAAAAATTGCTGTTGGTTTTCTGTTCGTTTTCACGTTACGTGTGCAGACTTGCCGTGGAGATGGAAGGCAGCCCCTCGAGGGAAGTGCTTGGTTTGAGTTGGCATGCTGAGCAATGATGCAAGAACATAAAAGTTTGGAAATCAAGGCACCAATCCTGCAAAAGGATACAGATAGACCTCCAGAGCCCTGTGTGTTAGGACCTCTTGTCTCTGCCACGTGTTTGTTTTTGCAGGACAGAGGGAAGAGGGGATAATCAACATGTCCTCGGGTAGTGTATGAATATAATTAGGAAATTGAGGGAAAAAATGCAGTTACCTTGTTCAATTTGAGGGCCTATGGGTCTATACATTGGCTTTTTTTTTTTTTTTTTTTTTTTTTTTTTTTTTTTTTTTTTTTTTTTTTTTTTTTTTTTTTTTTTTTTTTTTTTTTTTGGAGGGGGGGGGCATTTTTCTTTTCCTAATTACTGTAGTTGGGATGCCCAGGAAATTCAGGCCCTCTTTCCCAACATTGCCTGTTGAATGGGCTGTTTGTAAGTCTGTTTTTACCAGTGACAGTACACTACAGAGAGGCATAGCCTCTGTATTTTTTACATTAACTTAGGAGGAAACAAATTTAGATTTTTTTTTTTTTAAGCCAGTGTATTCTGTTGCTCATGCAGTGCCTCCTGTGCAATAATCTCTCTGATGTGTTTTCCCTTGATGTGTGATTCCCCCACTATTCCTCATTTAGGCTCAGTGCATTATTTGTGAGAGCAGGAGCTGCTGCCTCGCTGTAGTGTTGATATGACATTACAGAAGTGATGCAGCAGTTGCTGTTCATTTTTAATCCCTGAATTTCATGAATGTATAACCTGCTTTATTTCACTTTCAGTTGAGATTTTTATCTACGGGTTCTCAGCCAAATTGTGTCAAAAAAAAAAAAGGTAAATTGGTTTTAAAAGCAGTGTGGGAAGTGAGGGTTGTTTTGACTGCTCTGAAAATCAGTTTGTTTCAGGTTAGCACACATGAAGTGCACATAAGTTATTAACTAAGAAGACAAGCCCCACTGACATTGAAAGTTCAAATTTTGCAATTAATCTGAAAGCAGAAACTGAGAGGAGTGCTGAAATCTGGCTACTGAATGTGTCTTTCAAACCAGGCATTAAAAGATCCGTTGCAAAGTTTTGTTTCTGATCATAGGAAAAATTTCATTTCTTGATCAAAAGATTGGGCCAATATGTGCAGTTGTTTCCCTCTCTTTATTTTCAAGGCATTACAGACACAGCATAAGGTTCTTACCAGTGTTCCCTATTTTTATTTTGGCATCTGCCTGGCTCCAGAAGAGCGCCTCTGATAGTAGGAGTGCTTTTGTACCAATTGCACCAACTGAAGTGGGAGATGAAAGGAATGATGATGGCTTTTACGTTTCATACTGTCACTTTCAAAATACTTAGTGTTAAAAATAGGAAAAGCAAGGTAAGGCAGGTACACTTACGTTATTTAACTCTGCTAGTTCCTTTTTAATATTTGATAACCCTGGGCTGCAGCTCCCTGAGAATGAACTTTATCACTGCTAATAGATGCACCGGAACCATGGCAAGCAAGGAGGATTATCTGTCCCTATTGTGCCTGGCATTGCATCAGGTTTCCAGACAATGAGGGATTTTGGAGATTCATGGCTCAGAGGGTTGGCAATGGGCTGTTGAACCTTTTTATCTCCAGCTTATACCAGTTCAAGTCCAGCTGCTGGAGCAGTGACCAGAAGTTCACATCTCGGCAGTGTGAGTGAGCAAGTCCAGCCTAACACCTTGCACTGGGTTGTAGAGCTTGTAGTGCTTCCTCCTGGTTGTATCTGTGGAGTAGGGATGGGCTGTGAGCTTGAGTGCTTGGCTCAAATCTCTGGGCCCCTGTGGAGGGAAGATCAGCCATTCCAATCTTTGAGCTCTCCAGTGCTGAGGCAGGGCAGACTGGCAGGTTTGAACACAAATCTTCCGTTTTCTGACATGAAATTGGGAACTTAAAACTGTTTTCTTTACAAAAAAAAACCAAAACAAAACAGACTTAGTATTGTTCGCTACACTTGTAAGTTGGTCTAAACCAATGTCCTTCCCCACTGAATTTTTACAGTAATATTTTCTAAGGTAATCTAGAGTATATTTTAGTTGCAATCTATATTAAGGCAAATTATTTGTTCTGTCTGTTGCTGTGACTAAAGAAAATTATGAAAGACTTTGTTGGTAACAAGAATGCTATTTAATGAAGAAATGTGTAATTCCATTATTTATTGTTTGAGGTTTGTTTTTTGGTTATTTCTTTTAAGTAACTGACATCTAAAAGGGAACACACATATGTTTCAGGCCAGTAAAAAGCTTTTATTTTAAATTAATTTTCATCCTCTCCTCTCCCCAGGGTGGAAGGAAGCCCTCACCCTTTTTTGCAATGCTAAGCCATCTCTTGTAGCTGGTTTCTCACTTTAATTCTTGCAAAGCACCACAGTACATGTGAGTCTGAACCTACTGATAGTCCTGTGCACTATCTCTGGTTATCCATGTACTCAAGTGCAAATAAAGTAGGATTATTCATTGGTATTCCTACCCAAATTTCAATAAGGGGGAATTTGGTCTTTTTTTTTATTATTATTATTTTCAATATTGTGCACAAATACCTTGAAGAACAAACTGACCTTTGTTTTTCATTTGGAGTAGAATGTGGAAGGAGAAGTGCATAATAGAGACTTGTGATGTAGCCTCGTTCCATTACCTTTAAATTCACGGTTGAACACTTTTAATAAACCTTAAAAAATTGGCAAACACACCAAAGAATCAATATGAGTAAAAGACTCTGATCATTAACAAACTGCAAACCTCATCCTTTAAAACAAAGCAGAAAGTTTTTTGTAAATATTTATGTTTATAAATGTACAGCAGAGTAAGAGTGTTTTTTAGATTATTTAATTACCATATTTCTAAACTATTTACATTATAGACAATACTTGTTAGTTTGAAGAGCTCGAGTGGGTTTGTTTTGTTTTGGGTTTGTTTTCTTTTTTTCTTTTTTTTTTTTTTTTAAATTCACTATCACTCATGCTTGGAATAACTCTGGCTTCCTTGGGATAGCGTGGAAAATTTGGTTTTCTGGCTCTGGTTGGCAATCATAGGAGAACACATCTGGACAAACTCTTCAGATAAATACCCAGAGGCAAAAGAAAAGATATGGCATCTTTACCAGGATGGGCTGGTTTGGAGGAAAAAACCTGCCCACAAGTGCAGCTTCCATGCAATGCTGTGTTACCAATACCATCATGTATTTTGTTCTTCCTTTGCAATGTAAGTTTTTGCTTTGGGTCAAGATGAAAAAAAAAAAAAAAAAAAAAAAAGAAAAAAAAAAAAAAAAAAAAAAAAAAAAAAAAAGACAAAAAAGAAAAAGAAAAAAGTTAAACCTGGTTAAAACCTATTTTTGGTTTATGTTCTGTTTATTTCTAATGTAATGTTTTAATAACATAATACCACTTTACACATTTTCTCTCCATGTTTGTCTGTCTCTTCTACTGCTGTTCTCTTCTCTGGGGTTCATGATTGTGTAATGCATTTGGGACTCAAAATGCCCCCACAGATGGGAGTTCAGATGTCTCATGAGTTGTAATGTGATTTTTTTTACCGCTGATTATGGACAGAAACCTTAGAGAATAGTTTGGGGTGGAAGGAACCTTTAAATTCATCCAGTCCCACCCCTGGCACAGCAGGGACACCTTCCACTGTCCCAGGGTTCTCCATGCCCCACCCAGCCTGGCCTTGGGCGCTTCCAGAGATCCAGGGAAGCCACAGCTGCTCTGGGCACCTGTGCCAGGGCCTCCCCACCCTCCCAGTAAAACAAAACTCACTCTAGAGCTGGGCTTTGGAAGGGGGAACAAACTGGTCCTGGACTCTGAGTGGTTGGGTTTTCCCTGCTCAGATTCCAGCACTGCCACTTCACGGTTTTCTGACAGGTTCACCTTTCTTCCTCGTGCTCATGCACTGACCAAGATACAAAAATGACCAAACAGAGGCTGCATTTTAGGGTGAATTTACTACTAATAAAAAAGGGGGTGTATATGAATATTCCTGACACACAATAGAAACTGGAACGTTTGGGTTCAGTCATGAGAAAAATGTACAACCAAAAGTTGCAGTAAGGTTTTGGATTCTAAAAATTTGGAGAGGAAAGAGACTAGATTTCAAGACATTACTGCTAAGGAGTAATAGAGGAAAAAAATTCTATTTCCATTGCTCAGTAACAAACATCACTGAGAGAGCATTCACTGTTCAACCAGCAGTTGTGTTTAGAGCTGCTGCTGATGGTTTCTACCAGACTGGCCAGGCTTTGGCTGGGCTATACTGAATGCTGTGCTAAAGACTTTGTTCCTGTTTATGTATCATATTTCCTGTTTGAGTGTTCACTTGTGAAGTTTAAAACAATTAATGGCTAATGTTACTACTTGGAAAAACCTGATTTACAAGCTGTTGACAAATGATGTGTTTAGAATATACAGTCTTTATATATATTGGTAGAAGTGGGTGATAGAGAAGTGTACTTATTTTATATGGCAAAACATGGGGTTTTTTTACCATAGTGAGTAACAAAAAATTAGAACCTTTGAAAGAAAAATTATCAGAGCACAAAACAGGCTCTGCTGTGTATTTTCCCAGAGTGGAAACAGTCTGGAGTGAAGCATTTAAAATATCTTTGCTCAAGTCTCTCCCCTCTGCTTTGGTTGGGGCTACCAATACCTCAGAGGTTTTATCCTGTTCTTGGAAATTGCAGTAGACTAAAGTTTGCTTTTTCCTTTATCACTGCCACGCTGAGTCTCTGCTGCTCCTTGACTTACTAGCCAAAGGAAAGCTCAGCATGTGATTTAATCCCAGGGCAATAAGAAACAAAGCAGGTATATGCACTGCTTTATGAAACCATGCTACCAGGAGTTCTTCAGCCAGTGAATTCCCCAGGGAACCACAACGTGCAGCTGGAACAGCAAAATCTGGGCTCCAAAGCTGTGCTGACTTTTATTGGGAAGTCTCCAGCTGTCTGGTGAAGAAGTCAGAGCTCCAGCTGTTTCCTCCACATCTGGGCTCTCTAGTGCTGCTAGCTGCTGTTTGTGAGGTCCCAGGTAAGTTCTGAATGTTGTCATGTTTGCAAGAAGGATGTTTGACCATCTCCAGAGAATCTTGTAGAGGCTCTGGAAGCGTTTCTGAACCTTCTTCAGACTTGCAGGTTTCTCATGTGGTAGAGTTGGTGTACACTTAAAACAAGTGGTTTTGAGAGTGGTGGGTGCTACAGGGTCAGAATTTCCCTCACTTTTAATTTTATCTGCTGCAATT